AAAGAGTTTACCCTATAACCAAAATCTATCTTCTGTTCCATATGGGCCAGTCCCCCTACAAAGGACATTATGTGTTTTAGTAATTCATTTACCACACCCCAAAACTGCTCTAGATGCTGAGGATTGTGTGTTCTACAAGACAGACTGAGGCCCTGCAGTCGTGAACTTCACTTTCTGGATCATATCTTCTAATCTGTTTATGTATCTTTGTCAGGTCAATTACTATATCTACTTGTGCCTCATGAAGACTCAAAACGATCCTTAAATCTTCATAATTCTCTTAAATTTCCCAGAAAAGTCCCCGTTTTTATATTTTGTTAAATATTAGTTCAAAGGAGCAGCAGAATAGAAACTGCATTGTGGCAGATATAAGGAGATTTTTTTTTCACTTGTCTTTATTACTAATTAGCTATTTGATCTTAGGCCAGTGTTCTCAGCTCTGGCTGAACCTTAGTACCACGCAGGGAACTTAAAAAAATACCAGTGTCCATACCCTACTTAGGATCAATGGGAACAGAATCTCTAAGGGTGGGCTTGGGGTTCAATATTATTTTAAAACAACACAACTGATACTTCTGTCTGATCAGGATTGGGCAAGTCTCTGTACTTCTCGGCCTTTAAAATCATATCTCATCCAACTAGTTCATAAGGATTTCTTACATAAAAATTAGGTTGTAATGGCAAATAATTTTAATATCTACATAAATAGCTTATTTATTCTTGTCTACATTCTCAAAAATCCTGAAATATATCTGAAGATGCCTAATATGTGACAGGATAATATGTTAAAAGAAAAAGAAAAATGAGTAGTTTCTGACCTTCTCTTCCTTATGATTGCTAAGCACACTATATAAGATTCTGAATTTTTAGAGACAAGAGCATATAGTTTATTTCCAGACACTCCTAGTGTAACAGAATCAGCATCATTAAAATCATAAATTAAGACACCCATAAGTTCTGTCTATTTCTCCCTTAAGTATTTTTGTTATGACTATTTTCAAGGGCTATTGTCTGGGCACTGCGTTAACTACTAAAACATTGGCAGTTCTCAGAAGATTTTAATCAGTGCCCAGCAATTGAAGATGCAAAGGAAACTATACATCATAGACAATGCCTTAGAAAAGAGATTTATTGAAAAAGCTGAAGTGCAATCTCTCAGGGACATTGCTTCAGAACTGGATTACAAGAAACAGCTGCCTGGTACAGAGCACCCCAGGGGCTTCATCTTGAATCCTTGCTGATGGAAAGTCTGTGAATCAACACTGAGGAAAGTTTGTGCAAACTTAGTGAAGAAGTTTATGTTCTAATAAGATCCCCTATTAATAAAATTAATGTGACAACCAAAATCTTCATTGTAGTAGAATTTGTTTAAAATGACTCTATTGGAAATTATAACTCAGATTATAATAGAGATGGGACCAAGTTGATATCCAGGCATAAAGGAAAATAAATATTGTGATGCAGCAAGAATGCGGTGCCCCCTTTAGCAATCACATAACCACACTCTGTACTTATAAAATCAGAAAGTATACAAACAGTTCCTTTCATTGCAGAGAGAAAAAATACTTTTTATTAGAGGCATCATTTTCCTGGATTATTCGTTGTATAGAATTCTGTATAACAAAAATGATAGCATTATTATTGTCAACAATGAGATGGTTTGAATATGTAGAACCTAATTCCATAGAACTTTTTTTTTTTACTTTAAGTATGTCATTTTTATGGAAATTTACCAATAATAATAAAAACGACATCATTTATTGAATAATTACTATGATCGAGAACTATGTCAAACATATTATATGCATTTTATCCTCCTATAGTTCCTTGAAGAAGATTTTACCATCTAAATTTTCCAGACAATGATTCTGTGACTCAAAGAGGTTAAGAAACTTTCTCAAGGTCACAGCTCCAGAGGTGATATTCTGACTCCAGCTATTCTGACTCCAAAGCCTTAACTCTTAATCAGTCTCTGTTCTTTTCTCATGCATTAGTTGCTCTAGATAATGATTCTGCCACTGAGTTACTCCTGGGTAACCTTAACATTGGTAAAGTTGTGGAAAACAGACTAGATGTGACCTTAATGCAATAAAGGGCAGAAGTGAAAAACAAAAGTGTTAAGATTTTGTACAAGCCCAACCCTTGACTATAAGTTGCTCAAATGCAGAAGTGCAGACACTTGATATCCAAAGACTGTGACAAATTTATAGAAAGTGGGTGACCTCACAGAGATAGAGCACAGGGAAGAATGGGTTATAATGGCGAATCTACTAGGAAGGCTCCCACCCATTAGCAGAGCCCACTTCCTGGATAGGGTTCCAATTTGGTGCTCAACTGATCAAAACGAAACAGAGAAGTAGAAGTTTAATCGTAGGAATAAGACCCCAGAGTAGGAACAATAGTACTTAGAAGTCAACGAAGAACCCCCAGTCACCCCTGAAGCAAAACTCCCTGGATCTAATCAGCAGTAAAGAAAAACCAAAGGACAAATAGGGCCAGAGACCCACCTGACACCCCTTGGTGTGGGAAAATGGCTAATGCTAATATCTACTGGCTGGGCTGAAGGTGCTATAAAACTTTTTTCTAGGTAGAAATCAGCATCACGCTGAGCCCATGGATAAGCAGAGGGTTAAATGGTGAAGACTGGCAGGATATTAAATGAGGTGGGAAAGGACTGGTTCTATATTTAACACACTTAAGAAACCCCAAGCTCTGACCAAAAGGATGATGATATCTCTGACCTAAGGAATTCAAACTAAAAATGAAAGGAATTACATTACAACAAAGTAATTTTTTTCTCTATGATGAAAAAGTAATGAGTGTTTTAGGAAAATATTAAATATATGTTTTTAAATGTTGGCAACCCTGATCATATGTCTAATTTTTCCATAGGCTACATTAAAAAGTTGGACCTAATTCACGACTTTTCTACCTGGTCCAAAAATGAGATGGCTAAAATCTCTCGAAGATTTGCAGGAAAATAGTTCATGAAAATCTGGACCACTACTAGAATATATCAATTCTTAGTGATATCCCCGCGGATTCCTCAAAATGGTCATGCCGCACTGCTTGGATACATAATGATGGAAACCCATAACTCTGAATCTCAAGTCTGAAGGAAAGAAAGGCAATCAATATTCAAGAACACAGTTAAGAAATAATATTGGTAGTGGAATGTAAATCACCACCTTCCTACATAAAGCATTTCTTCTTTCCAAAGCCGCAGGCTGCCGCAGTCTCACAATTTCCTTACCTAGAGCTTCGTGCCAGTGGTGTAGCCTTTGATAATTTTTGCAATAAAAATCCAGTCATGCTTGACATTTAGGAGGGAGCAAAAGGTTTGATTTGCCTCAGGGCCCTGGATACTTTTAATGAGAAATGAAAGGCAAAATAAAAATTAGGGGTTCAGAAATTGAGCCAAATCAAAAAGAGCCAAATTACTGGACACTAGGCTGCTTTAAAGGTTCTAGGTAAAGAGAGGACCATTTAATGGAAGTTTATTTCTCAATTATCCAACATAACCTATTATCAGTCTAGGTTGAAAAAGAGAAGGAATAAAGAGACCCAAGATGTCTTCATGCCTTCTCGTCTGCTGACAAGATGGACTTTGGGCACAAGCATGTCACAAGCATGCTTATAGTTTCAAGAAAATCTGAGCTTTCACTAAGTGGTCCATAATAATAATAGACCACACCCTTTCTACAGAATCTATTCTAATGGGATATACTCCACACATATTTTTATTTAGCTTTTTCACTCAGTTCCTTTAGTCAGCTTTGTCCCATTTCTTATGTGTGGAGTCTTTAGTTATATGCTTCTCTCTGTGTCATTTAGAAAGCAGCCACTTTGTTCTCCAAGCCCCTTTCCTTGAGTGTGAGCCAAGTGTCTGCCTCTCACACTCCTTTAAAGTCAAGACCCTAAGTGATTTTTGGCTGAGGACACACTCCCAACAGAAAGATGGTGACTTGTGTCTCACATGCGATTCTGTTCATACCCACTAGTCAGTGCAGTCTAACAAAAAGTTTGTGTACATAGTGGCTTCCAAGAAAATTTAACTCTTAGGATGAGAAAAAGAAAATGTTCTTAGAGAGGAATGATTTGGGGATATACAAGACAAGAAGCTTGGACTTTCCTCCCCCAAGCCTAGCTCCACAAGCACTGCATGCAACAGACCCTTGCTAATTAAGGTGTGGGCTTCATTCAGGGAGCATGGACAGCTTGTAAGTGATGCAGAGATGCAGATCCAGGCCTGCTCCAGCTCTGCTGCATAAGAAAGGGCACTCCCCAGGTTATTCATATGCACATTCTTGTTTGAAGAGTATTGGCCTAGAACAGTGGTTCTCAACCTTGGTTACAGAGGAATCAAGCAGGGAACACACAAAATTGCTGATGCCTGGGTCCCACCCCAAGAGATTCCAAGTTAATGGGCCTGGGGTGTGGCCTAAGCACTGGGATTTTTAAACCTCCCCAGGCGATTCTGAGATGCAATCAGGGTTGAGAGGCATAGAAGCTGAGGAGAGCTGCTACTTCCATTTTCCCTTCTTTGCTTCATAGTCAAACGGTGAGATTTCTGGTCAGAATCTCTCTTTTCGAACAGGCTGGCTGCCCCAGAGCTGCACTGTAAGTACTGGGGAGAAAGCTCTGCTAAGGAACTTAACTTTCTGCCTAGTGCTCTTCAGCAACCTCCTTTCACCTTCCCCGTAAAGCCGTCCCTGACCCCCGCACCTTGGCAAACCAGGCCAATGGTTTAAAATACAAACTTGGAGTCGTGCTTTAAGAGCTACAGCATCAGAATCTCCGGATGGGACGCTAAAATCTGCATTTTTAACAAGCTTCCCAGGTGTCTGATGTGCAGCCAGGTTTGTGAACTCCACAGTGGGTCTAGCCTTTCATCCTGCCAAGTCATTAAGGATTTGTAAGGATGAATGAGCTGTCAAGAGAGCAAGGGCCTGGTGCAATGCCCCTTTATTAATTATGGGGAAGTGATGTATTGGCAATGATAATGCTTCTCTTGGAAAGGGCAATGAATGGTTCGTCGATTGTTGCATTAGATCTTTCCCAGCTCAACCGTAATGCTCAGCTTTTACTCCTCTCTGTAATTTAAAAGCTGCATGGCTTTCACGTTAAACAGACTCTTGGTCTTTATCCCCAGGTGAGCTGCAGTCTTTGAGGGAAATACCAACAAGGAGAATCTTTCAGATTTCTTGGCTGGGGAATACCTCTCTCCCCACCCCCATATCCTTATCTGCTTGTGTCAGCAGCTACTAGCCAGCGTGTCGCTGTGCATGTCTGATATGTAGGAAAAACACGGCGTGAAGATTTAAGAGAAAAACCATTGATAGATTCCCCGATCCCTTTGCTAAAAGAAAGCTTCCTTTAGCAGAGGGATAGAAAGTGGAGGAAGAAAGATATTATCTGATTAACAATATCAGAGGTGAGAAACGAGTAGGCGACTTGGGGTTGAGGTTCTGTCCGTGGACGAGGCGAGGAAGGCTGATAAGAAAAGTTGCAGCGCCTGCCTGAGCGTGTAACGGATGGGCTGGGTGCCGGAGAGAGCGCTAGCGCGCGGCCAGAACGCACTGCGGGCCGAGAGCCGGGAGGAAATCGAAAAACCTCAGCGGCAGAGGCTGGGAGGCTGGAAGGGCTCTCCGCCTGCTGGGTGCTCCAGAACCGCGCGGGTCCTACTTCTCAGGCCGTAGCCGAGGGCGCCGGGGGGCGCGCAGAGGGCCGGAGCGCAGGGACTCGGCGGGC